ACACCCGTATGGGATGCCAGCGCCTCAGGCCAGGGTGTTAATCTGCTGCACCACAGCACCGGCCCCCTCACTCCATTTTTTCACCTCACTCTGGGCAGCAGCAGCTCTCAGAGTTTTTAGATTTGCTGGAAAGAGTAAAGAGGAGTTGAGTGAGTCAGGACATAGGACCAGGCTATGTTCTTAGGAAACCTGTCTTTAGAGGTTTCCAGTCATGCATAGTATTTTAAGTAGGAGTAAGAATTTTTGTCTGTTGTGTGTGTCCCTTCTGGACGGTATTTGTCCCAGTTCCAGCTGAAAGCATCAAGATGGAACTTGATAGTTGTATCATGCAGTGCCTGTGCTGTCAGTGCATGGGCCTAGCAACTCCTCAGTTCCAACTGACAGCTCTGAAGGCTGTTCTGTGGTTATTAGTGGTAGTGAGGGGAGGGAGTTGTCCAAAGAGATGTCAGTTATCCAGGAGATGTCAAATAATATTACACAGTACCTGAATGCACACCAGAGCAGGTACGGATTCTGGCCAAGTGTTTCACTAAAACATTCTTTCTGAATCCTATCGGCTTGTAGGACAGAACCCTGACTATTCTGACAGGTTGTTATATCTTTTTCAGGGAGTCTGGTTCTTTTTAACTCAACATAATTATTTTGAGATTCATCTCTGTTATGGACTATAGCAGTACTAAAAGGAATGGTCCTTTAAAAACATGCTGAGTAGAATAGCATTACAGTGCAGGACATGCCACATCTTGTTTAACTATTCACCTGTCAGAAGCTATGCAGGTCATTTACAGTTTAGGAGAATTATAAATCAAGCTGTTCTAACCATCTACTTACAGGTGTGTGTGTGTGTGTGTGTGTGTGTGTGTGTAGTTGTTACTTCATCTGGAGGTAGGATTACAGGGATGTATGATAAGTGTACGTGTGTATGGTTAACTTTTCTTTATTTAAGGTAAACACATTTCATGTATTTCATATATACAGATTTAAGAATGTGGTGATATTTCTCACCCTACCCTCCCTCCTGCCCATGTTCCCACCCTTACTTTTGCTCCTTTATTCCCTCTCTTAATTTTTACAGTGATCTACTTTCAGTTTAATTTATACTCATAAGATTAACCATACACTAAGTAAAGAGTTCATCAAATAGTGAGGAGAAAAAAAGCCCACTGTTGCTCAACAGTGGAGATAAGTGCTGTAAACGATCATTGAATCTCAAAATGTCAATTTCACTCCTATACATTACATTTTTGGTATTCTATTAGTTACAACAGATCAGGGGAAACATATAATATTTGAATTTTTGGGACTGGCATTTTTCACTAAGTATAATGGTTTCCAGTTGCATCCATTTTGTTGCAAAAGACAGGATTTCATTCTTTTTTCTGGAAGAATAATATTCCATACTGTGTATATATACCACAATTTATTTATCCAGTCATCAGTTGATGGACATCTGGGTTGATTCCATATCACAACTATTGTGAATTGAACTGCAATAAATGTGAGGGTACAGATAACTCTTTCATATGATAATTTCATTTCCTATGGGTGAATTCCCAGGAGTTGGATTGCTGGGTCATATGGTAGATCTATTTTCAGTTTTCTAAGGTATCTCCATACTGTGTATGTTTAACTTGTTAAGAAACTGCTGAACTAGTTTCCAAAGTGGCTGTGCCTATCAGTCATGTGAGAGTCAGTTGTCCCATGTCCTTGGAAACACTTGATATGAGTCATTGCATTAGATGTTAGCCATTCCAGAACATCTGTGGTGGTACCTCATTGTAGTTTATTTGCATTTCCCCAGTTACTGCTCACCTGGAGCATCTTTTCCTCTGCTAATTATTCCTTTTCTTTAGTGAGTGCCTGTTCTAATTTCTTGCCCATTTTTATTGAATTATTTGCTTTCCTATTTTTGAATTTTGAAAGTTATTTATAAATTCTGGATTCAACTCCTTCATTAGACATATGCGTATCGTTTGCAAATATTTCCTCCCAGGCTGTTTTTTATATATATATATATATCTGTACTGTGATATTTGAATACCAGCCATTTTCAATTTTGATGATGTTCAATGAATGAGTGATCTCCTTTTATTGATTATGTTTTAGGTGTAGTACCTAAGAAATCACATCATAATCCATTTGTAAATATCTTTTTCCTATTTTGTACTCTGGAAATTTTATAGTTTAGATTTTATATTTTATGATCCATTTTTCATTCATTTTTTACTATCATGTGAGAAATAGATTGAAGATCATTCTTTGATAAATGAATATTCAAGTGTTCCAACACTACTATCCTGAGCAATATCTTTGTATCCTAGTAAAAAAAACAAGTTGTCCTTATTGGTGTGAATCTATTTTTAGACTCTTTCTTAATAGTCTCTCAAAATTTTCTTATATTGATGTGTAATTTTCTTTACCTAAGATGTCTCTTGAAAATTTAAAAATTTATTTTCTTTTTTTTTGTTGTTGATAGAATCTCCCATCTGTTGATTCGTTCCCCCAAATATCTGAAACAGAACTGGGTGTGGCTGAAGTCAGGAGCCTGGAACGCAATCTGGGTGTTTCACATGGTGGCAGAGACCACTTATTTAACCACCACCTGCTGTCTTCCCGGGTGCAAGCACACTAGCAGAGAGCTGGATTGGAAGCTGAGTAGCTAGGATTCAAACTACACACTCTGCTGTGGAATGTGGGACTCTCTAGCCACAGCTTAAGCACTGTGCCACATGGTCTCCCCTCTACAGTATTTCATAAGATTTGTTTTGCCAGAGTGAATTTATTTAAGAAAAATAAATTTACAGAGGTGGGTGGCAAGCTGGCAGCATGCACACAGACTGAACACGTGACAGAGGGCACAGTCCTCCAGGAGGCTGGGCCTTATATATTTTAGGGTGGTCCAAGGGTTTGGAGAGGGGGTGAGGGCAGTAGTTGAAGGTGAAATTCTCCATCCAGGTTTTAAGGCATACCCAGAAGCTTTCAAATCCTGGAAAGAATTACAGGGGGTGTTGAAGGGGAACAATACAGGGCATGGGGCTGAGCTGGTCTTTTGAAAAAAGGCAGGGGTAAGGGATAAAATGGGATTTTATCTACTTTCAGGTAAGAATCTAAAATGTCTGAGGCTTATGTCCTTGTTCCATCAATCAGGTAATGCTGGCCTTTTAGAAAAAGTTGGAAAATATTCATATGTTTTCAACCTTCTGGAGTGTTTATGTAGAATTGATATTATATCTATCTAAAATATAATTTACTAGTGAAAGCATCTAAACCTGGAATTTTTTTTGTGGGAAGACTTTTAACAACAAAGTCAATATTCTTTAATAGATATAAAGTTATTCATGTTTCTTTCTTTTTCAGTGAGCTTTGGTGGTTTCTGTCTTTCAAGAAATTTGTCCTTGTCATATAGGTTGTCAAATTTTTCACATAAAGTTGCACAAATTTCCCTGCTAAGCTTTCCATATTTGTAGATCTGTAGTGGAGCCTTCTCTCATTTCCAATATTGGCAATTTATGTCTCTTCCCTTCTTTATCTCTGATTTTCCTGATCAATAGGATTAGAGGTTGATCAATTTCATTGATTTTTTAAGGAATCATTGTTTCTTTATTTTTCTGTTGTTTTGTTCACCTATTTATAGCATTGGATATCTTCCATATTTTTGTATTGTTTTATTATTTATCACTATTTAAGCTCTTTCTCTTTCACTTTTTAAAATTTATTTCACTCTTCTTTTTTTCATTTTCCTAAGGCAAAACCTGAAATAATTGCTTTGACACTATTTTTTTTTTCATCTAGGCACTTGGAGCTATATATTTCTTCTTAAGTACTATGTTAATCCCACATCACAAATTTTGACTTTTATTGGGTTCAAAACACTTTCTAATTTCTCTTTTGAGTTCCTCTTTGATCACCTGGTAATGATTAAGATTTGGTAATGTGATAATTAGTATTATGTAAACAAACAAAGCAATAAAAAAGGGCATAATAGGACATTGTCTTTGTTTCTAAAAAATGTTGTTGACTTTCTTTCTTTCTTTTTGAAAGGCAGAGACTGAGAGAGTAGAGAGAGATCTTCCATTTACTAGTTCCTTCTCAAATTGCCTGCCACAGCCAGGGCTGGGCCAGGCCAAGGCCAGGAGCCCCAGCCCAGTCCAGATTTCCCATGTGCATCGCAGGGACCCAAGTATTTGTACTTTCACTGCCTCCCAAGGTGTGCATCAGCAGGAAGCTGGATTGCAAGTGGAGCTGGGACTCGAACCAGGCACTGTGATATGGGATGCGAATGATTAAGCGGTGTCTTAACCACTGCTCCAAATGCCCACCCTGGGGACTGTCTTTAGATGAAGCGATATGGGGAGTTCTCTTGAAGAAGCTGATATTCCATCCAAGACCAGAGCATGAAAGGGATTGGTTACATAAAGAACTGATGCAAGGGTATTCTATACGTAGGAACAGGACTGGGAAGTAATCTGAGGAGAGGAAAGAGGTGAAAGTAAATGTGTCCTAAGTTTCATCCTGAAAGCATGCTGCTTCCAAATTCTGTCAAGCACAGGAATAAGCCATGGCTGAGGACCATATGCTCTCCATATTTGGCCTGGCATCAACTCTTCTTAGAGTCAGGGTAAGGGGTCACATGACCCTGGGAGAAGATCTACCACCCCAGGAATTCTATTCCTGTTAGGTTGTGGAGAAATTGTTCTGTCATTGTAATGTGCTGCATTACATCCTTTGCAAATTAAATTCTCCATCCTTGAACATCTGCCATGGGTGATCACAGGATTATTATTTTTTCTTTCTTTAAGATGTTTCTTTTTTTGGACTTTAAAGACACTGTCCAGATTGACCTCAAGTAACTGATTCACATGAAAAAATGTGCTTGCCTTTCCTCTGCCCTCGCCTCCCTGAATGGATTTCTTTGGTCCTTGGTGACAAGATTAAAGTGATAAATTATGAACACAATCTGATGCCATCCATTTTCAACTTTATTCTTTTTCACCACAAAGGGCCTGTGATGGAAGAGTGCTCCGGTCAACCACAGCTGGCTCCAGGACCCCAGCGAGTTAGTAAACATCTGTCAGGCTCAGGCTGAAGACGTGCCTGCCTTGCATTGTTTTCTCCAAGCTGCCTCACTAAGGAATCATTCTCTTTATCTCTGCAAATATTTTCCTGGACTTTCTCTCTCCTTTGGTTCCTGCAAGCTTTCATCAGCTCTTCCAATCCTGTCCTCAAGTGAGTGATTTACACTTGTATATTTCTTGCATGTCAGTCTTGGGAAATTCTAGAAAACATTCTATCTTTCCCCGGGTGATAAAGGCCCGGTCTCTGGCCTTAGATCATCACTTTGCCTTCGTGTGTAAGATCAGGGAGAACTCAGCTGTCCCCTGGCAGGGGAGTTACAGTTTGTCCATTCCTTTGAACAAACCAAGAAGTGTGGAAGATGGGCTCAGATACCTCACAATGAATGTAGGTCCCAGGTGGTACCATTTCAAGGAGAGAACAAAGAATTCTGTCCCATGTGACTTTCTCTCCTTAAGTGCATGGTGATTTGGTCCTCTTCTTGTGTACACATTTCCAGGAAAGGAGTGGCCAAAGATTCTTCTGGTTGTGTTTCTCTTTCCTCAATTCCCTCAGTCTGGAAATCCTTTCTGATAGATGAGTGAAGGAACAATTCTCACCCCTCCCCCACATTTCCACTTTGGCAGGTAGAGGAGGAAGATGATACTGCACCTTCTCTCTCCTCCTGCTTTTTTTGCTGACTTGACTTAAGGTGGTCTGACTTTTCACTGAACCACATTTCATAGTGGTTGGAGTAGCCATCCACAGTTCACACATTGCATTGTTGTTTGGCATTCATTAGGTGAGCTGCAGGCTCATGGTCTTGGTGCTTCTCACAATGAGCTCTATACAGTAAACCTTGTGAGCAAGGTCTGGGTGGGGAGAATGAGGAAAGGATCCAACTTTTTCTGTTGTCCAGTATGACAGGGTATGGGGTAGCTACCTTGCAGGTAGTGAGGCAGGTGACTCACAGAGCAGCTGTCCAAACAGGTGGATCCCAATGGGAGGAAGAGGAAGCTCCATTAAGCTTAAGGTTTTGAGTCTTATTTTCTGACAGTTTTCTGTCAGCTGTATTTTTGGAATTAGTTTATATATTTCCATTAATAAATTGGTTGGTCCTTTGGTCCCCATTTGCACCTTGATTCGAATCGAACAGGGACTCAGAGAAAGAGACTCTAGTCCCTCTTCCAGCCTCCATCTGAAATTTCTATGTTAAATGTAGCCTTTCAAAAATGAGAGTGATTTTAAAGCTTTGCTATTTGATTGTCTCCCAGTGCTGCAAAGATGCCTGTTGTATGTGTTACTTACCTGAGTTTCCATTCTGTAAAATTCAGGAGCATCAGGTCGAAGCATCCAAAGAAATGACGACTCAGAGAGGGCAGCAGCCTTGCTGAGATTCACAGACACATTGTCCAGCCCCTTCTCTGCACATCTTCTCTATGGTGTTGAGTTGGCACTACATCTTAACATCTCATCTCCTTGATGATGAGGAAGGAAGACACGGCAAAAAAGAGGGCAAATTGCCTCTACTTCTGAATGCCTGTAAACCACCCTGTTGACTACTTGGAGTTCTGTACCCCAAAAGGTACACAATAGTCTCAGAAATGAATTAAGTCCTTTAGACCTTCGAGAAATTGGAGTATTCTGCCAGCTACATCATCTGCCAGTGTTGATGATCCAATTCTTTTCCTCATTTGTGCTTTAACACCAATGATATGAACTCTGCAGATGGAATGGTGATTCTAGTCACATGCAGAAAGCCTTGGATGTGTTTAATTTCCTGCCACACTCTGTGACAAAGAACTAATTTCATGTCTTATGATCAAATAACTGTAACTTTGCAGGAGCACAGTGTGTTGGAATAGGGACACTCAGGGTCCTTGTGTGGCTTGGGACATTGCCAAGGCAGCAATGGGGTCTGAATGTTTTTATTTTATTCCTGCCTTATTGCTGTGCCTAATTCTCCCATTTCAAAATGTCATGGAGTAGGCTGGTGTCATTTGTTTTCATAAATTAATGTCTATGGCAATTTATGGCCAGATGGACCCTGAGAAATAAGAGCCGTGTGTGTGTGTGTGTGTGTGCGCGTGTATGTGTGTTGGAAGGTCTAAAGAAAAGCAGTGGGCAATGGGCAGGGTGAACTTTTGCACTTAGTGCTTCATTCTGTGGAGAGAGCAAATACTTGTGAAAAATCATGTTTTATAACAGCTGGGCACAAAGGACCCCTTATTCAGATTCATTTTTGCCACTGCCTCTTATTCCTCTAGCAACTAGAAAAAATGTAAATATCCTGAATTCTTCTCACTGGGAAGCCCTGTGCAATAGAGAGCAGATTTCACTCTGCTGGGAAATCGGAGGTCCAGAATCTGAATTTTCTGGCGACAGTGCCTCAGCCAGCTGAGGTGAGGGCTGTGGTGCACACTGGGTCATGGCACAGGAAGACTGGGCCCAGCACGTGCATCTCTCCTTTTTGCTACTCCTTCATGGATCAATGAGAAGAACTGGGTCACTGGGAGAAACAGAGAAAAGGGAAAACTATTTAAAACACAGCAGAGAATTTGATGATTCTCTGATTCTAAGAAACCGTGGCTGCTGGGAAGCTGAAATCAGAGGTGGGCTTGGCAGCAGCCAAAGAAAAGACTGCCTGGCCCCTGTGAGCATCCAGGGCCCACGTGTGGCAGGATGCACCTCCTCCTGCTAGGGCCCTGCCTTGGGGCACGCAGAAGGCAAGACTGGACAAGAGCCATTTCCTGAGCCATGTTAACAGAGTTTTGTGATTTGGGCAAGCCACACAGATTTCTGATTAATTTCTTTCCTAGGTAAAACAAAATGTTTATTTTTCACTTTATGTTTGTGCGGGAGCAAACTGTTGAAATCTTTACTTAATGTATGCTAAACTGATCTTTTGTATATAAAGAGAATCGAAAATGAATCCTCATGTGAATGGAAGGGGAGAGGGAGTGGGAAAGGGGAGGGATGCAGGTGGGAGAGACGATATGGGGGAGGAAGCCATTGTAATCCATAAGCCGTACTTTGGAAATTTATATTCATTAAATAAAAGTTAAAAAAAATTAATTTTAATTTAAAAAACAATAAATAAAATGGATGGAAAAAAAAAACAAAATGTGAAGAGAGGACAATCTCTAGAGTCCCCTCCATTTCTTTCTTTCTTTCTTTCTTTTCTTTTTTTTTTTTTTTTTTTTTGAGACAGGCAGAGTGGACAGTGAGAGAGAGAGAGACAGAGAGAAAGGTCTTCCTTTGCCGTTGGTTCACCCTCCAATGGCCGCTGCGGCCAGTGTGCTGCGGCCTGCACACCGCACTGATCCGATGGCAGGAGAAAGGTACTTATCCTGGTCTCCCATGGGGTGCAGGATCCAAGCACTTGGGCCATCCTCCACTGCACTCCCGGGCCACAGCAGAGAGCTGGCCTGGAAGAGGGGTGACCGGGACAGAATCCGGCGCCCCGGCCGGGACTAGAACCTGGTGTGCCGGTGCCGCAAGGTGGAGGATTAGCCTAGTGAGCCGCGGCGCTGGCCTACCCTCCATTTCTAATATTCTTTTTGATGATATTCTTTGATTTATGAAATATTGGGATAGGAGTTATTATTTTACCCTCTTATTCAAGCAGTTGGCATATAAATTCCTTTTCTTTTTTCCCAAAGATATCTTTTATATAATGTGTACAAATTTCATAAGTACAACTTTAGGAATATAGTGATTCTTCCCACCATCCCCACCCTCCCATCCCCACTCCCACCCCACCTCCTCCTCCCACTCCCATTCCCAGTCCTACTCTCCTTTAAGATTAATTTTCAATTAACTGTATACACAGAAGACCAACTGTATACTAAGTAAAGATTTCAACAATTTACACACACATGCACAAAAAATAACTGAGAACAATGTTTACAGTTAATTCTCATAAGGCAACACGTTGAAGACAGAGGCTCTGCATGGGAAGTAAGTGCACAGTGACTCCTGTTAATTTAACAATTAACACTCTTACGTATGATGTCAGTAATTACCTGAGGCTCTTGATATGAGCCGCCAAGGCTGTGGAAGCCTTTTAAATCCACAACCTCCATCAGTATTTAGACAAGGCCATAAGCAAAGTGAAAGTTCTCTCCTCCCTTCAGAAAAAAGTATGTCCTTCTTTGATGGACCCTTCTTTCCACTTGGGTCTCTTGCAGAGATCCTTCATGTAGGGCATATTTTTGCCACAGTATCTTGGCTTTCTATGCCTGAAATGTTATCGTGCGCTTTTCAGCTAGGTCAGTATGCCTTAAGGGCTAATTCTGAGGTCAGAGTGCTGTTTAAAGTGATTGTCTTTAAATGCGTCTGCTGTGTGGACTGCTTCCCATTTTGGAATATTCTCTCCTTTTTAATTCTATCTATTATTATTACCAGACACTTGATCTTATTTTTATGATCCCTTTAATGCTTAATTCTATCTATATGATCACTTTAACACTTAATATGGTTATTTTAACATTTAAGAAGGCATTTTTACCTCCCAGTTTAATAGGATTTGGGGTCCCATGGCAAGTTTTTAAACTATACCCTTAGAAGTAAGTCCTTAGGAATGTATGCAGAACTATACAGCTTGCAGCCCTTTTTTTGACTGTCAAGGAACAGTTTTTTTTTTCTCTTCTACATACTCTTTTTTGAACTCTTTATTTAACATAGAGTTAATCATCTGTGTATAAAGTCAATTGAAAATAGATCTCAGTAAAAAAAAAATAAGAGTGGGAATAAGAGAGGGAGAAAGAACTTTGTAAATTCCTTTCAATAGACACATAGCTATCTAATAATCTTTACCCATCCAATGTTTTTTGCTGTATTTTTGCAGCCGCTTAGGATTTGGAAAAACATTTTCATTTATTTAAAATACTATGAGCTGGGGCTGGAGCTGTGGCATAGCAGCTAAAGCTGCCGCCTGCAGTGCCAGCATCCCATATGTGTGCTGGTTCCACTTCCGATCCAGCTCTCTGCTATGGCCTGGGGAAGCAGTAGAAGGTGGCATAAGTCCTTGGGCCCCTGCAGGCCCTGGACTGAGGAGACCTGGAAGAAACTCCTGGCTCCTGGCTTTGGATGGGCACAGCTCTGGCCGTTGTGGCCAGTTGGGGAGTGAACCATCAGATGGAAGACCTCTCTCTCTCTCTGTCTCTCTTTCTCTCTGTGTAACTCTGACTTTCAAATAAATAAATAAATCTTTAAAAAAATACTATGAGTTAGATAATTGAGGAACTATGACTTGCCCCAGGCCTCATAACTGGACTGAGATTTGAACTCAGTTCCCTAGGAATATCACTTCTCAGGAGGCCATGCAAATGATTTTTGAGCATATATTGGATGCAAAATACTTTGCTGAGAAACAGAGATGCTGCCATGACAGGACAATTGTGTCCTTAGTTGTTTGTGTCTAGTAGGCTGAAACAATACTTAATTCATTTTTAAGGATTTAGTTATTTATTTAAAAGGCAGAGTTACAGTGGGAGAAGGAGTGAAAGAGAGAGAGAAAGAGAGAGAGAATCTTCCATCCACTGGTTCACTACACAGACGACCGCAACAGCCAAGGCTTGGCTCGGTCCCTGGAACGAGGAGCTTCATCCAGGTCTCCCACGTGTGTGCAGAGACCCAAGCACTGGGGCCGTCTTCTGTTGCTTTCCCAGACTATGAGCAGGGAGCTGGATCAGAAGTGGAGCAGCCAGGACTTTAACCAGCACCCATATCAGATGCCAGCCTTGCAGGCAGAGGCTTAACCTGCTGTGCCGCAACAATGTTGGCCACAGAGCAATATTTATACTAATAAGTGTGGAGTGTGTGATGAGAGGAGATGGGGGATCTATAACTGAAGAGTGATCAATGAATAGAGATCAGTGAGACCTTCCTGGAGAAATGGCATTTAATTTTAGTAGTATAAAGTCACTTTAGTCGGGCCAAAAGGGAGTTAAGAAAGAATGTTCCAGGCAGAGGCAATTGCAAACTCTTTGGATTAAGATAGGATTTTCCAAATACCATGTGTATGGGTTGGAGGAAATAAGGTAAGGAGAAGGAATAGAGGTGCCCAAGATAAACAGCAGGCAACCAGCAAGTTATTTCCCACTGTGTTTACATATAAACAAATCATTGAGATGGAAGCTTTCTCTTGTATATTTGTAGTTACCTCACATCAAATTGGGACGTTTTGGCTAGTTTACTAAAATACTAAATTAATATGTCTAGCATGCAGTCCACGAAACTATGAATGCTAGCCTAACCATATCCTCCTTATATGGACAGAGCCTACAACAGATACTCCCATCCCTAGGGGCCTGTTGGGTACATGCCTTGTGACCCCAGCACCCTGCAGACATCTGCTGGACCGTGGAGATATCCAGACAGTCACAGTTACAAAGGATGGCCTAGGGAAAGTACTGCCTCCCCGGAGTGCATCAGATGGGATAATGACCAAAGGGAGTCAATCTGAGTGTTTGTAGGTTAGAGAGAGGAGAGAGAGGGAGGGAGGGAGGGAGAGAGAGAGAGAGAGAAAGGAGAGAGAGAGTGCAATGGGAGGGCCTAGAGATGCTAGGGCTTCAGGAAGAATAGGAGCCAATAGAAGAAAGGATAAGGAGAGTGGCAGAAGCTAGAGAAACAAGTGTGGGCAAGGAGCTGCTGTGTGGGGTGGTAGGCAGGGGGTGGGGCTGCTTCTACCTTCGCAGCCACAGAAAGAAGTGGAATTGTGGAGAGGGGAGAGTGACTGGGAAGCAATGGCTACAAAGCTGGAAAGCTACAGAGCGCCAGTGGGGCGGTGGTGCAGAGGGGATTTGTGCACTGCTGCCGGGCGTGTCGCCAGCAACAGGCTTTCTGGCAGGCAGTCTGATGCAACTTAGTTGAATTAAGATGGTCCCTACATATATTTCCCAAGACCATCTCACTGAGGTCCAGGAGGGGACGTGTCTGAGGATGTTCATTATAGTGTTGTTGTGGTGACAGGCAGTTGGCGGCACTCTGGCACTCCATCCTGCGGATTAGAGGGGCAGCATATGGTGAGTATACATCATGGAGAACAAGCAACAGTGGGGACGAACAGCCTGGACGGACATCTAACAGCATGGGTGAATGTATAAGCAGTGTTGGTTAAAAAAAAAAAAAAGTAAGAAACCATAAGAGATACGGAACAAAGCACCCTTTTAAAATACATGTCTTAAAAAAATCCATGCGTTCTGAGAACACATATAACCCAAAAGATATATGTCAAGCACAAATGAGAGTGATTGCCTAAGAGGCAGAGGAAGAAAGGCACAGGGTGAAAGGAAAGGGATAACAGGAAAGAAATAAGCAGACAAGATAAATGATGGGCCACGGCCTGAAGAGTATAATTCACTCAACCTTCTGTAGCCAACAAAAGGAAGAAAGGGGGAGTAAAGGATTCTGATTCTGCAGACAAACAGATGAATGATTTGACTGTATAGCAAGTTATAAGTGCAATAGCTTCAAAGGTGAAGAATGATTTTCTGGGTCTGTGAGGCCCAGCCACGTATCAATGATTTCCTGGATTTCTTTGCATGTCATATGTCTTTGCAATAATTAGCCTTTACCACCTGAGGTCAGCAGAAGGGGTCTCCATTCTCTAAGACCTTAGGATACCTAATAAAAAGGTGGTATAGTGGGCTGTATAAGGCGAATCAAGCTACTTTTATCCAAAGTCTTTATATGTAAAATGTCACTTAATCTTAACAACAAATGTATATATAGCTACAATTATTGTCCTTATTTTACAAAGGAGGAAATGGAAACACAGAGAAACTAAGCCACATACCCCAAATCATTCAGCTAGTAGGTGGCAAGTTGGGGTTCAAACCCAGCAGTTTGATTCCACAGCCTGTGGTTATAATAATAACACAACATTCAAAGATATTCTTGAGTAAATTCCATAAAACACCTGGCTGGTTTTGCCTCATGTCAGGCCTGACTAATTTCTCAAAATCCT